AAGGAGTGGTTCTGTAGGGGAAGATTACTTTTTTCTTGGGGGGGGGGGAATTCCTTTTGATGCTTTTTGTTCCTGGTTTTAGTGCTAGGCTGTATGTGAGGTCTATACCCTGTGTAGGAGGGGCTGTGTTAACTGCGACGAGTCAGAAGAGCCCCTAGCAGAGAGGCCTCACTTTTTTGCCATTTACTTTTCCTTTTGGAATTTTTCTGGGACATGGAACTAATAAGCTGAGCTGACACAGGTTTTGTGTGTAGCTGTCATGGGCCTTTACAGAGTAACCTTGCTGAATGTGGATGTGATCTACAGCGGCGCAACCAAAACTCCATTGGATAAACCTGACTTGGATCTCAGTAGGGTAATTGAACTGGTAGTGTCTGCAAGCCACTCTAGTCTCTGCCCTAAAATTAAGAATTAATTGGATTGATTTAAGAATTTGGGTGTAAATGAATGTAGTTAATACTTTGACTAAGCTTAAAGAATCCTTTCTATATTAAAATCCTGCTGTTTCTTCCCGGTAATATTGTGATGGTTGAGATAGTCGTTGCTTCACTTCTCTCTATAACGCTGGTGACTCACGCAAAGCAGACGTTTCCACACTTGAAGTAAATTGTATAAACTTTCTCTCTCTCTTTTCTGCCCCTCTTAAAACTGCCATTAATCAGTGCTGATTCCCAAGGAAAAACCACCCATCACGGTCGTTGGAGATGTAGGAGGAAGAATAGCTATCATTGTGGTAAGTAAGATGCTATCATTTTGAATAATTACATTAAGCGTGTTAAAGTTGCAGAAAACAAGTAGATATTCTGCTGTATCAGCAACTAAACTTTGGTTGATGGTGGACTTCTGATGCTGCGCTTTTTATACCATGAAGCAGTATTCTGTGCACTTCTGAAGCTGACTTTGTGAGCTGTGATGTGATCCCTGCTGCAGAGCAGCATTTGGACCTTGTTTCTGTGAATAGGACAGATAAAATTATGTTCCAAGGGCTTGCCTGAAGGTGAGAAGTTTCAGGTGGTGCTTATACATCAGATTGGGGGAAAATCACCGTGTTTCATTCTGTGAGTTTAGCAGTGCCAGTGGAGATGATGTAGTCTCATGGTTTCTCTAAAGCAGAGTGTGATCTTGGGGCTTGTAAAGGTGATTTTCTGTTAGTGTGGTTTTTGAATGAAAGGTGTCTTGGCTTTTCCTTCTTAGCCTTGTGGAGCAATCCCTCTGCCCCTTGATGTTGCAGTAGTTTTGGACGCTCTGCTTTTCCATTCTTTCTCGCTTACCATCTAGCTCAGGTGTCTGAAGAACAGCCTCAATAAAAACGCCTGGTTTGTGTTGGCTGTACACTGGTATGCTTGAAGATGATGTCGTCAGTCTGGGTGTGCAGCGTTGATCTGTCTGAGGAGGTGGTGAATCTTCACTGACTTGATCTTACTTTGACAGGATGACATTATAGATGACGTCGACAGCTTTCTTGCTGCAGCTGAGACCCTCAAGGAAAGGGGGGCTTACAAGATCTTTGTCATGGCCACACACGGCCTATTATCTTCAGATGCTCCCAGGCTGATAGAGGAATCTGCAATCGATGAAGTAAGCATGGATTCTGCATTTGTGATCTAATGGTTTGGGGATTTTTTAAGCAAACAATTTCCTCCTGACTTGATGATTAACATACACTGGCATTAAGAATTTAGCTGGGAGGTTCCTGGGTTCAGGCTTTCTTACCATGAAATCGTATACCCTGGAATTGGTGTTTACGTGTCCTTAAACTACAGCAGTGGGAAACGAGGGAGGTAGTGAGATGACAGACTGCCAGTATTAGCTGACTTTTCCCCTCAGTGTGGGGGGGATATTTTTGTACCTTCCTCTGGACCTGCATGGCAGAGTGAAAGGGAGGAAGGACAGTGATGTTAGTATCCATGGATACGTGGACATTCCCTTCTGCAGTTCTAATATGGGAGGTGGAAACCATAAGGAGCTATGTCTTTCTGATCATTTTGTCTTTCTGTAGGTGGTTGTTACAAACACGATTCCACATGAAATACAAAAACTCCAGTGCCCTAAAATCAAGACTGTGGATATCAGCATGATCCTCTCCGAAGCCATTCGCAGGATCCATAATGGGGAGTCCATGTCGTACCTTTTCAGAAATATAGGACTGGATGATTAAAGCTTTTTATTCTAAAGAAATATCCCGGGCCAAACTGGAAGCGAACAGATAATGAGCTGTGAAGCATCGTCATGCTTACTTTAATATTTCTATTGAGCCACTTTTTGTTTTCTCTTGGTTTAAGTATCAAGGTAGAACAGTTTTTAAGAGCTTTGTTTTTTTTCTTTGCTGG